AATCCACAATAGACTTGCTTCTCCTAAGCTCCTTCATCCTCCGAGCCCCGCTCCACGACTCACGGGAGCTCGACAAGTATAGCACGAGGCCCGGCCATGCGGGCCCACACGAGTGCGCCATCTGTCTCTGCTCGATCGAGCAAGGGGATGACGAGGCTCGGGAGCTTAACAAGTGCCGGCACGTTTTCCATGGCGCGTGCATCGAGAGGTGGATCGCATGCGGGCACTGGACGTGCCCGATTTGTAGAAGTCACATGAAACTTTCGGGCCGGTTTTGTGGGGTTCATGAGGAAATTGTGGTTTTGGGTTTTGTTGATGGTAGGATGAGTGATGAGGAGAATGAGGCGTATAATTGGTGGTTACGTTAGAATTATTATTATTATTATTATTATTATTATTATTATTATTATTATTATTATTTCTAATAATAGATATATCATTTTTTATTAATTTATGTTTTGTTGTAATGATTTTGTCTACATGGACACATGCATGACAATCAAGGTTTTAAATAGCGGGCTAAAACGTTTATGGCACTGTAGCTATAACGGAGATTTAGCGGGATTTAGCGGCTAAATTGCACATGAATACAAATAGCGACACGCTGTCAAAAAAAGCTATTTCTCAAATAGCATCAACTTTAGCGAGCTATTTATTTCTTGACAATTGACACAAGCTAAAAATTATCATGATATTTTCATGAACAAGTGTCATTTATCTAATTGGAAAAAATATGAATCAAAATATGATTTTGGAATAGAAAAATAATTCTCCCTGAAAAATCTTTCACATTTTTGGTTATTTGTTTCTGATAGGTACGAAATGTTATTATGTATATTAAGACCCACCATATATAAATGTTGTTTATTTAAAATAATGATATATTGATCATGTGGCACCCATTGTACATGTGAATAATTTAAGGTCTATTATGGTGTATGTTTTGGAATTACTTGTGGAAAAGCTTGGTTTGACTTTCAACACGAATTTTAAATACTGTTAGGCCAGCTCCAACCGAAAAACTCATTTTCAAACTCATTTTATTGTAATTGTCATATCCAACAGTAATTCTTCTCCAACCGAAAAACTCATTCTCAAACGCAAAAGTATATTCTCTCACATCAACTTTTACAACTATTCAATATTTCCCACATATTTACAACTTTATAAATTAAACCACACTACTATTCTATGTTTGATTAAATAAATATATTAGAGATTAAATAATTCGTATAAGTAAAAAAAAAAAAACTGAAATAATAATTACTAAATAAGAAAAAGTACAATAATTTGTTGCTTATGAGTTTTTTTTTATGTATAGTATTTGAGATATTTTTCAAATTTGTACTAGTTTGATAATTCCAATTAACGACAGCACAAATCAAAATGTATATATATATATATATATATATATATATATAAATAATTATAAAGTTCTTAATGATACTTTTTATGTGGAGCATAAAATAAAAAGTGTAAAATTAAATATATTTTACTGGGAATTAAAGATAAAAAAGGATATGTAAGCAAAGCATTTTATATATTAAACAGTACCATGTTAAAGCAATTAAATACTATTCCGTAAATATAAATTAGGTTTATGAACAAAAAAAAATGCCAAAATTGTAATTATACAAATTAAAGGGAACAAGGATAATTTATAAACAGTGTTGAGTTTGTGAATAGTGAAACGCAAATATGCGTTTGAGGTGAGAGAAAAAGGGACAAAAACCCATTTTGCGTTCCGTTTTGCAGTTCGGGTGGAGTGATTTTTTGCGTTTGCGTTTGAGTTTGGAGCACGGTTGGAGAAGGTCTTAGCGGGAAAATTTCAAAACTAGTCCCACAGGTATAGGGGGGTGACATTTTTTGTCCCAACGGAATTCAAAAAATATTAATAGTCCCGCAGCTTTTAAAAAATAATCAAAAGTAGGACTTTTTTCAATTTTCCGGCCCGACGTGCCACGTGGCACACACGTGGCGGGACTATTTAAGATTTTATGGATTTTTTTGGGACCAAAAATGTCACCTCCCAAAACCTGTGGGACTAGTTTTGATTTTTTTTTCTTGCCATTGTACTCGCCACGTCAGATGAATGTGGCCACGTGGCATTCCAGGTCGGAAAATTGAAAAAAGTCCTACTTTTGATCATTTTTTAAAAGCTGTGGGACTATTAATATTTTATGGATTCCGTTGGGACCAAAAATGTCACCCCCCTATACCTGTGGGGCTAATTTTGAATTTTTCCCAGGTCTTAGCTATGCATATATGAAAGTTATACACATAAAAAAAACTTAAAGCAAATTTTTTTCTTCAATCTTTTTTTTTTTTTCCTTAAGAAAATTAAAGTTACTATTTGATTTTATTTCATTAAGTTTTTTAATAGCTAATTAATTAATTTTAATGGCATTATAAATTAAATTCTTTAATTTTTTTTTTCAACTAGTTAATTGGTCATGATTTCTAAGATATCCCCCTCACCCCCTATATATTAATTCAGAACGCGCTGAGCCTACGTGGCTGCTTCTGGTGCTTCGGAATCCTATGTGGCAAAATTACATGTTTCGTTATTAGGCATGAGTAAATTTTAATTTAATTAAAAACCAAAAATAATTAGGTTCGGATTACCATAAATATGTTGATTGTTTATGGTCATGTTACATGTATTAATTGCATTTTAATATCATTCCTTATTATAACTATTGAATTGTATATATATTTTAAAAATTAATAACTTTTGTATTTTTTATCAGTTTTACATATGTAATATATCAAATTAATCTTCTTTTGATGAGATTCGATTCAACATCCATATTGTATGTATAAAAAAAATAATTTATATTTTTTGTTATAACAATAATAAAATTATTATTAATATTAATTAAAAAAATAAGATTATTTATCAACTAACATATTTTTATTTCAAGTAGTTATATGATATAAGTTATAAAAACTAATATAATATAACACATGTAAGTCATAAGTAACACATATCATTCTAAAATATATAGTAATGTATTTTTTTGTAAAAAAGTAAACTAAATTTAATATAGTTTTCTCATTAATTTTAAAATTTAAGAATATTTTTTAACAAGCACCCGTGTAATACATGGGTGTCGTACTAGTATAAAATATATTACTTATTACATTTTATCGTACGTCATTGATTATATATTAACTCATATAACAATCAATTTTATAAATCGTAAAATTATATTGTTCATTCTTACTATAACAATCAATTTTATAAATCGTAAAATTATATTTTATTTTTATATGTGCGAATGCACATTATTATATAAACTTCTAATAATATAATAATCTGACCATACAATTCTGTTTAACCAGATAGGGAAATTAGTTACCTGTTTTCCATGGAAATAATGAAGAGGAAATTAAATGAATACCTTCCATTAATTTCGTGGGTACATGCATATCTCATGTTACATTTCGTGGGTACATGCATATCTCATGTTACATTTATATATTCTAGCGAAACGCCATGGTCCCGTTACAGAACCATTCTGTCAGAGTTTGTAACCGTTAGATCATCATGTAATCGTCAGAGAGTTGATCTAACGGTTATGAACCCCACGGAATGGTTCTGTAACGAGAACTGTAACATCTTTT